AGCCAAACTGCTGCAATGTTCCAGGTAAGTTGGTTTTTTATTGCATACATTCATTTATCCATGTCTTAAACTAGTTTAATTCTGTCTATCCTTCCCTTCTCCAGCACAAAACTAATTAATCTATCATGTGTTTCACAGCAACTAAATGGGACAAATTTAAGATTTGATATTCTCAACATTTACAGCCACAGATTTATTTTCTAAAATTGTTTTTGATCAAGTTTGAGCTCTCTTAAGCATTTCTTAGTTGAAAAGCACATCAATTGAATCAAATGAACAAAACTATTTATCAACAACTAGGGCAAATCAATGACTTAATACTTCCACACCAACAATGAAAACTAGTCAGTAAATTGACCAATTTTTCAGCACTTTGCACCAAGGAATTACTGTTTTCATTTGCCAAGATGATTTTAGAAAGTACACTTCACTTGCTCAATCTCAAATAGAACACAGAACTATACAGCACAGCAATGGATCCTTCGGCCCACGATGCTGTGCCGAACATAATGCCAAATTAAGTTAATCCCTTCTGCGTGCCCTTGGTCCGTATCCCTCCATTCCTTGAATATTCATATGCTGATCTAAAGGGCTGTTCAACTCCCCTAACATATCTGCCACCACCACCCCTGATAGTGCATACAGACTTCCACCATCTATTAAAAAAAAACTTGCTCCTCATATCTCCTTTGAGCTTTCTCCCTCTCACTTTAAATGCATGGACTCTAGTTTTAGACATTTCAAGTCTGGGAAAAAGATTCTGACCCTACCTATGCATCTCATAATTTTATATACTTCTTATCAAGTCTCCCTTCAGCTTCCGCTGCTCAAGAGAATTTTTCTAGCCTCTCCTTAGAGCACATCCCCTAATCCAGGCAGCATCCTGGTAACTGTTAGCTGTTAGTAATGGAGGTAAGCTGTTAGTAATGGAGGTAATAGGGCCCAAAAAGAAGGTGCAAAAACTGGCAAAAGGGCACTTTATCGGAATGCTCGGAGCATTCGAAACAAGGTGGATGAGTTGACGGTGCAAATCATGGCAAATGGGTATGATTTAGTGACCATGACAGAGACATGGTTAGAGGATGGTCATGTCTGGGAGTTAAATATCCAGGGGTATCAAACTGTTCGGAAGGACAGACAGGAAGGTAAGGGAGGTGGTGTCGCTCTGATTTTTAAGGATGATATCAGGGCGGTAGAGAGAGATGATATTGGTTCTACTGAACAAAACGTTGAATCCATTTGGGTGGAAATTAGGAATAGCAGGGAGAAGAAGTCACTGATAGGTGTGGTCTATAGGCCACCAAATAATGACATCGTGGTGGGGCGGGCAATAAACATAGAAATAGCTAATGCATGTAAAAATGGTACAGCAATTATCATGGGGGATTTTAATCTACATATCGATTGGTCAAACCAGGTCGGACATGGCAGCCTTCAGGAGGGGTTCATAGAATGCATCCGCGATAATTTCCTTGAACAATATGTAATGGAACCTACGAGGGAGCAAGCTATCCTAGATCTAGTCCTGTGTAATGAGACAGGAATAATTAATGATCTCACAGTTAGGGATCCTCTCGGAAGGAGCGATCACGGTATGGTCGAATTTAAAATACAGATGGAGCGTGATAAGGTTAAATCCAGTACCTATGTCCTGTGCTTAAACAAAGGAGACTATGAAGGAATGAGGGAGGAGTTAGCTAAGGTAGAATGGGAGCAAAAACTTTATGGTGGGTCAATTGAGGAACAGTGGAGGACTTTCAAAATGATTTTTCACAGTGCTCAGCAGAAGTACATTCCAGTGATAAGGAAGAACTGTAGGAAAAGAGAGAGCCAGCCATGGATGTCTAAGGAAATAAAGGAAAGTATCAGATTGAAAAAAAACCACATACAAAAAAGCAAAGAGTAGTGGGAAACTAGTAGACTGGGAAATCTTTAAAGGCCAACAGAAAGCTACAAAAGAAGTTATAAAGAAAAGTAAGATAGATTATGGAGTAAACTAGCTCAGAATATAAAAACAGGCAGCAAAAGTTTCTATAAATTTGTAAATCGTAAAAGAGTGGCGAAGGTGAAAAAATTGGTCCTTTAGAGGATGAGAAGGCCAATTTAATAACTGGGAATGAGGAAACAGCCGAGACATTAAACAGTTATTTCGTGTCGGTCTGCACAGTGGAAGACACAAATAACATGCCAAAAACTAATGGCAAGAAGGTTATAGGAGGTGAGGACCTAGAAACTATCATTATCACTAAGGAGGCAGTGCTGGGCAAGTTAATGGGGCTAAAGGTAGACAAGTCTCCTGGCCCTGATGAAATGCATCCCAGGGTACTAAAAGAGGTGATTGGGGGAAAATAGCAAATGCACTAGTAATTATTTACCAAAATTCACTGGACTCTGGGGTAGTTCCCGCAGATTAGAAAACAGCCAATGTGACGCACTGTTTAAAAAAGGAAGTAAGCAAAAAGCAGGTAACTATAGGCCAGTTAGCTTAACTTCGGTAGTGGGGAAAATGCTTGAATCTATCATTAAGGAAGAAATAGCAAGACATCTGGATATAAATTGTCCCATTGGGAACACCCAGCATGGGTTCATGAAAGGTAGGTCATGTTTAACTAATTTCGTGGAATTCTTTGAGGACATTACTTTCATGGTGGACAATGGGGAACCTGTGGATGTGGTGCATCTGGATTTCCAGAAGGCATCTGACAAGGTGCCACACCAAAGGCTGCTACATAAGATAAAGTTGCACGGTATAAAAGGTAATGTATTGGCATGGATAGAGGATTGGTTGACTAGTAGAAAGCAAAGAGTAGGGGTAAATGGGTGTTTTTCTGGTTGGTGGTCAGTGGCTAGTGGTGTGCCTCAGGGATCAGTGTTGGGACCGCAACTGTTTACAATTTACATAGATGATTCGGAGTTGGGGACTAAGTATGGTGTGTCAAAATTTGCAGATGACACTAAGGTGAGAGGTAGAGCAAAGTGTGCAGAAGACACTGAAAGTCTGCAGAGGGATATAGATAGTCTAAGTGAGTGGGCAAAGGTCTGGCAGATGGAGTACAATGTTGATAAGTGTGAGGTCATCCATTTTGGTAGGAATAACAGCAAAATGGACTATGTTTTAAACAATAGAAAATTGCAGCACGCTGCTGTGCAGAGGGACTTGGGTGTCCTTGTGCATGAATCGCTAAAAGTAGGATTGCAGGTGCAGCAGGTAATTAAAAAGGCAAATGGAATTTTGTCTGCCATTGCTAGAGGGATGGAGTTTAAAAACAGGGTGGCTATGCTGCAGCTGTATAGGGTCCTGGTGAGGCCACACCTGGAGTACTGTGTGCAGTTTTGGTCTCCTTACTTGAGAAGAGATATACCAGCACTGGAAGGGGTGCAGAGGAGATTCACTCAGTTGATTCCAGAGTTGAGAGGGTTGGATTATGAGGACAGACCGAGTAGACTGGGATTATACTCATTGGAATTCAGAAAAATGAGGGGAGATCTTATAGAAACATATAAGATTATGAAGGGAATAGATAAGGTGGAGGCAGGGAGGTTGTTTCCGCTAGCAGGTGAAACTAGGACTAGAGGACATCGCCTCAAAATAAAGGGAAGCAGATGTAGGACTGAGGTCAGGAGGAACTTCTTCACCCAAAGGGTCGTGAATCTGTGGAATTCCCTGCCCAGTGAAGGGTTAAAGCTACCTCGCTGAATGTTTTTAAGGCAAGGCTAGATAAATTTTTGAACAGTAAAGGAATTAAGGGTTATGGTGAGCGGGCGGGTAAGTGGAGCTGAGTCTCAAAAAATCAGCCATGATCTTATTAAATGGCGGGGCAGGCTTGAGGGGCCAGATGGCCCACTCCTGCTCCTAGTTCTTATGTTCTTATGTAAACCTCTTCTGCACCCTCTTCAAAGCCTCCACATCCTTCCTGTATTGTGACAACCAGAAGTGAACGTAATACTCTAAGTGTGGCCTAACTTATAAAGCTGCAACATGATATCCTGACTCTTGTACTGAATTCCCTGATGAATAAAGAAAAGCATGCCATACACCTTCTCTACCACCCTATCTACTTGCATGGCCACTTTCAGGGAGCTATGGGCCTGAATCCCAAGTTCCCTCTGTACATCAATGGTGTTCACGGTCCTGCCATTAACTGTATATTTTTCCTTAACATTTAATCTCCGAAAATGCAACACCTCAAACTCAGCTGGATTAAACCCCATCTGCCATTACTCCACCCATATCTGCAACTGATCTATATCCCGCTGTATCCTTTGAAAATCTTCTACACTATCCACAACTCCACTGATCTTTGTATCGTCTGCAAACTTATTAATCCACTCATCTACATTTTCATCCAAGTCGTTTATACATCACAAACAGCAGAGGTCCTACTAGTGCAGAACACCACTAGTCACCGATCTCTAGCCTGAAAAACACCCTTCCACCATTACCTTTCGCCTTCTATGGCGTAAGCCAATTCTGAATCCATGCAGCCAAGTCAAGGTGGATCCCATGCATCTTAATCTTTTGGATGAGCCTACCATGAGGGGCCTTGTTGACAGCCTTACTAAAATCCATATAGACAACATTCACTGCTCTAGCCTCATTGATCACCTTTGAACTTTTCGAAGCGATAACAATCAAATTAGTAAGACGTGACATGACCTGCCCTGCTCAAAGCCATGCTGACTGTCCCTAATTAAGCCATGCTTTTCCAAAGTATACACATGGGATCTTAGTACACAATGCGTCTAACAGATCCATGATTGCTGTGGTTCTAAGTGCCAGGAGTACAGAATATGTTGGAAACTTGAATGAAAAATTAAAAAGCACATATTATACTTACTTAGGAGAAATTTCTCAAGTTTTAATATTTAATATATCGGGGAGGATAAAAACATTAATTTTACAATTTCTCATTTTCATTTAAATTCATGTGCAAACCAGGTACTTTATCTATTAAAACTGAAAAAGTATTACATGGTTATTCAGTAAAGAAAATACTTACTTGCTGTAACCCTGAGTCTGGAGCAAATCCCGGTTCTTTAAAATCAACTTCATCATCGCTTGATGAATGTATATTGTGTGCACTAACCTGGAATATTATTTACAGGATAAAGTGATACCGCAATGAACCCAATTAATTCCACAGCTAAACATGCATTTTTTACCCTTTCCCCACAAACATACTCCACTCCCTCCGGGGAAAAAAAAAGTATATTTTCAATAAAGCCAAACTGTAGGAAGACACAATTTGAAATATCAAGGAACACTTGGAAAAACTTAAATGACAACCTCACGTGAGAAAAACGGAAACTTTTTTGCCTTTTATGCAAAAAAAAATACAATTAATCCAGTTTTAAAGCTGCATAACAGCCAATAAATAAATTGAAGACAATATCTTCATACATTCAGAAAACCACAGAAGACCTAAAGTACATTCAGACTTCAAAGCATGGGATAATTCTGCATTACCCTCTTTAGAACAACAGGCAAATTGATAAAAATCAACTTTTTGACCATAATTTTGATATACATGTAGCTACTTTTAATGCAACATCCCTGAACCGTAATTTTAATCTAAATAGCAATGTAAAACATTACAAGACTGGAATAATTATCTTCAACCTTGCTACAAATGCTGCACACTTGTCACTGACTCTATTTCATTCCTTAACTACTATTTCACCCTACAGCCATTTTTTTCATAATTTTAGTGTCTGACTAGTTATCCAAGTTCATACCTTCAAAAAGTTACCTACTTTCATCTCCATAATATCATAGTTTCTATGTGCTCCTAAATAGCTTTCAGCATGTGCACTTGTTTTCAGACACCTACCAGATCAATTGTATTCTTCTTATTGGTTTCTGCCAAAGAACCTGTTGTAAACGTCTCCCATCTTTCCCTGTAGTCCTCACTAAGATCTGAAAACGTAAGCAGTATTGGAAACACGGCTTTTACAAAAAATCTGTTACTTTGATTATTCTAAAAGCAAAATATTTTGGAATTAGAATAAACGCCCACAGCCAATAATCAGTCCTAGCAAAAAATTTACTCCTGGTTTATTTATTCAATTTTATTTATTAAATTGGATACACTTTAAAAGGAAACTAAAATGTTAATGTGTGTAATTTCAAATTACTTTTATGTTGAAATAGTTGTTAAAGAAAATCAAGATGCACAGAAATTAACAGTTTGTCTTTAAGTATGATTTGATTACTATCTCCTACTATATTTGTATGAAAGAGCTTATGCTGTACACATCTGAATAAGATGCCTATGTCAAAAGTCCAGCAAAGGCAATCCATGGCCTTCCTTGGGAGTCCTCAGTGTTCCACTAGATGAAGGACTAATCTAAATCATCATTTTTATGTGGTGCGAATGCAGAATGTTGACATTACTGAGAACCTGTTCTGCTTGATATTCTTCTTGCAGGCTCATTGGAACCATGAACAATAGATTCAGCTACAGCAGGGATAATCATCTAGTTGGCCACAGTGTTACAAAGATTCAGAGAAATTCAGGGTAACAAATGCGTCAGCAAGCACAGGATCAGCAACAACGTCCAGTGTCCACTAAACAGCCTCCACATTAAAACAATGAAGTGGAGACCCAGAGTCCAGTATTCTCGATGTTAGTTCCTCAATGATTGCAGTGGTGCTGCAGATTAAGGATGTCCCGGGATGCCAACTGCTGGAGCAGGACATGTGACGTTAAGATGTGGATGGCCATCGTGGGGACAGCTGCACCAAATTTGTACACAACCGACTGCTTCCATGGATCCACTGGGGACCCAAGTTAGATATTACAACCCTCAACCCACAAATGTATCAAGACTGTTACCAATACAATTTCTATCAGGTCACACCACTTCATATTATTTCACGAAGACAAGGTCATTGCTGCAAACTAGACCATCAGCTTTACCAACATAACTGGCTTTCCCAAGGTGCAGTGCAGTATAGACCGCACACACAAAATGTTAAAAGCATCATATCGCATGACAGCTGACTTCATTTACTGAAATGTACTGCATTCCATTAATGTACAAGTGTGATCATCAGCACCACTGATGCGCCAGGTTTCTGGGAGCTGTCATGACAGCTATAACCTTGATAATTCTCATGTTCTTGCTTGTTTCAAGGGATGATGGCCTTATAAGGATGGCTTCTGGAAGACAAGGGCTACCTTCTGCACCTGTAGCTGATGATTCTGACTGAGGTAGAGTGTAAATACAACGTTGAAGAGCTGGCTGAGCAGCAAGTGGTCCAAGGAGGAAGACTGTACAGGCAGAACATCACCTTCAGCATTATAGCACATTGTAGCATCAGGCTCAACAAATTAGACAGGATTTAATTGATATCCGGTTCCAATAGTTGTGAGCTGAGTGCTGCTGAAAAGGCAAGTGGCTGCTGTTTTGCCTTTGCTTTTGTGGAAAATAGGTTAAACCTTTACAACCATTTGAAGACTTTCCCGACAACAAACAGCAAACATGTAATGCTCCCACACTGAACAATGACAAGATGTTAATGCTACACTGATCATTAGGGACAGGGTACTAAGGTGGTATGGCGCTAAGGACAGTTAACCTGTGTTGCTTATTCCTGTAGCTGCAGTCGCAATGACAGTCGATCAGAAAGTGAAAATTTAAAAACATTACATTTATGAATGCGAGCTTATATTTTCACCCATATCACCTACGTGCCCTTAAAAGCAGTTCTTTCTCATTCCCCTCTCTTAACATGTACCATGAAGGGAAGCTCCTGGCTGGCTGCGCTTGAAATATGGCACTGGCACCAGGAATCCAGGCAGGTCCTGGCAGTGGCGAGGACTTGCACCACTGCTGTGTGCACCATAATGCAAACAGGCGTTGTGCATACATAATGAGACAAACTGCAGAGAATTGTGCAAGAAAACTCGTTAGCATTCATGGAGAGGAACCCTCCATGATATTTTCCAAAATTGACACAGTTGACTTTTGGTAAAATTCAGTCTTTTGTCTATCTTCACATTCATCTGTGAATAATTATTAGCTGTACATCATGTTCATGAGTAGTTCAGCCAAGAGCGGTTGAACACAATGCTATTTGCCATACTCCACACTTAGAGAAGATACTGTGATCATAAATTTATTCACGATAACATCAACTGGTATTTGATAGAACTGGACTAAACCAAGAGAGCATACAGAGTAAGAAGTCACAGCTTCCAGATCACTAGAGACACAGCCTGCATAAGAAATCTGACATCAAATTGTTTACGAGGAAAAGGAATAAAGACACTGCCCAATCTTCATATAACACACAGTTAAATGCAATTCATTTATTCTCCATCCTTCTCAAAATAAAGTCTGGAATTTAAAATGTCATGCACAAGTTCAATTCATTGCAGCACTGTAAAATGCAAAATAAAAAAAATCTTAGGAGAAATGTATAGGAAGAGTTGTAGCTATACTAGATGATATGTTAAAAACAGAAACAAATATGCAAAGTATAATACCTTTAAGCTGCTGATTAATGAGTACGCTGTTTGGTCCCTTTTCAGCATTGTGCACAATAGCATTAGCTATCCGTGTTAAGTGACCCATGTACCCTCTCCGTCTTCCACCTGCTGATCTGAAAAACAAGTTCATCCACTTATTCCAAAACAACAAAGCACAATTATTGGTGCTGGGGGTTGGGGGGGAAAAGACATAGAGAGAGAGAGAGAAAGAGAGAGAGAGAGAAAAGAGGGAAAGTAATGTTTAAAGAAATGTTTTTACTAAAAGAAAGGTTGCTGAAAGACACACATTTTGTTAAAGATTTTCTTCTTGCACATATCGTGACAATTTGCCAAAACATCATTTCAAAGGGAATGTCAATTTTTAAACTGCACGAGGTGAGAGTGCTGATTAGTTGGCAAGTGAACTGTGATTGGCAGAGACATTGTCGTAGAGGAAGTTGTCATAGAGATTGCATGTGAATTTTTTTCACAAACTTTCAAGAGGTGCAATCTGGATTAATATTCAGAGGCAGAAAATAATCGGCACCACAGATTTGTTAGTTTTCTCTTTTTGATAAAATCAGAATTTAATTGAAAATATACATTACTACTTGCCCCGGGAGGTCGGTCTTTTTGGTGCTAGGATCTAAAGTATTCTGAGCTTTCAGTTTAATTGACATAAGTACAAAGGGAAAATTGAACTATGATATAATGACTCAACCGGAGAGGTTGGCATTTCCGAGACACTTTAAATTATTGGCAAAGATCTGTAGCTCGGGCTGTGGATGAGGTTGTTGACTTGCTTGCTGAGCTGGTTTGTTTTTGTTCAGACATTTCGTCATCATGCTCGGTGACATCATCAGTGGAGCCTCCAATGACGCAATGTTAATCTACTCCGCTTGGAATTTATACTGTCCGGTCCATTATGGTGAGTATTGTCATTTCATTTTGATCTGTATGGGTTTATATGTGAGGTCCAATTCTATATGTTTGTTGATTGAAGGATGGGTGGAGAACCATGCCTCTAGGAATTCCCATGCATGTCTACGTTTGGCTTGGGCTACTATGGTTACTTTATCCCAATTAAACTGTTGGCCTTCGTTGTCTAAATGTACAGATATTAAGGAGGGTTCGTCGTGCCGTTTTGCTACTAGCTGATGTTCGGGTATTCTGTTGGCTAGTTTCCTTCCTGTCTGTCCGATGTAATGTTTGTGGCAATCGCGGCATGGTATTTTGTAAATCACGTCAATTGACCCCTCCACCCTGGGAAAAAGCCTCATACTTTCCACTCTATGTCATTCACAATCTTTTAAACTTCAATCGGGTAGCCCCTCAACCTCCTGCGTTCCATTGAAAACAAACCCAGTCCAGCCAGCTCAGTGAGCAAGTCAACAACCTCATTTCTGAGACACCTTTATCCTTTTGGTTTTATTATAGAAACAGAAAACTAGGTTACTTTTTTCATAAGCAAAGCAGAAAAAATGATTATTCAACAGCAAACTATTCAACATGAATCTACCTGTCACTGGGCCTGAAAAAGACTTGAAATAGTGTGTAAATAATTTCCTCATAACAGTCCAAATCTGTCCTTTGCCAATTCAAATCTCTATCAATAGCACTAGCAATTTGGTTCAAAATAAGTAGTTAAGATTTACCTTCGCAACATCATTTACTATTTTGTGACTATTATATGATTCTCTATTGATAAGCTCTTTCTCAGGCTGAGGAGGGTCAATTATTTTCCAGTCTGTTATCACAACATAGCTGAGGAATCAGACTCGTGTTTCTATACTGGAGCATGAAGAAGTCTTGAATATCTCTCCAGCCATCAGTAATAATATTGAATTGAACATTTGGAATTATATAATAAAGGCAATCACAAATCCCTACAGTGTGGATGCAGGCCATTTGGCCCATCCAGTCCACACTGATCTTCTGAAGAGCATTCCACCCAAACTTCACCTTCACCACCACCCCCGCCCCCGCCCCCATCCCTATAACCCTGCATTCCCATGGTTCGTCTACCTGGCCTACACATCCCTGGACACTATGGGCAACTTAGCATGGCCAATCCACATAGCCTGGAGCACATGGAGGAAACCCACAAAGACAAAGGGAGAATGTGCAAACTCCACACAGTTGCCAGAGTCTGGAATCGAATCCAGGTCCCTGGTGCTGCAAGGGTTGCAGTGCTAACCGCTGAGCCACCGTGCTACCCCACTGCAATGTCTACTGTCATCATCCACAAATATTACCATGGACTTACTGGAGTGGAATTTATTTCCAGTAACATCTCAGCTGCAACTTTAATTTTTACATCTGGTGATACAACTGTTTGTTTAGATTTACACTACCTAAATATAACTACAGCAGAAACTGGGACAAGAAAACAAAGAAACTGAGTGACTATTGAGTGTCTTTAAAGACATTAGTATATTTCAGCAGAGACAGAAAGAACTGCAGATGCTGGAGTCAGAGTCAACACAGTGAGGAACTGGAGGAACAAAACAGGTCAGGCAGCATCAGAGGAACAGGAAAGTCGACGTTTCAGGTTAGGACCCTTCATCAGACTTTCTCGTTCCTCTGAAGCTGCCTGACCTGCTGTGTTCCTCCAATATATTTCGGCAATTAGCAGATTTGTACTGATTAAAGTTACTCTGTACAGCTGTTGTCTGAAACCTAGCAATCAAGAATTAATACACTGTTCAATAGTTAACAATAAACTGTGCAAATAAGTCAGCCAAGTTACAAAAACTGGCACAACACTTAGAACAGTCTACAACTTCAAAGCTATGTAAATTTTAGAAACCATATCTATTACATCTATTTAAAAAACAAACTGGAGAGGTTGCACATCGGCTTTTACAGTTATGAAACGCAACTGCTCATATATATGACACGTATATGTAATTGCTTGAAACTCTTAGAAGACCAGGATAGCTTATTAAGAAAAAGTACCGGGGGGGCCCAGGTTCGATTCCACCCTTGGGCGACTGTCTGTGTGGAGTTTGCACACTCTCCCCGTGTCTGCATGGGTGTCCTCCAGTCTCCTCCCACAATCCAAAGATGTGCAGGCTAGGTGGATTGGCCAACTAAATTACCCATAGTGTTCCGGGATGTGCAGATTAGGTGAGTTTTAGGGGGGTGGATCTGGGTGGGATGCTGGGAGGGTTGGTGTGGACTTGTTGGGCCGAAGGGCCTGTTTCCACACTGTAGGGATTCCATGATCTAAGAAACTGGGAGAAACAACTTAAAGCCAAGGGATAAACAAAACCAGCTTTTCAGCCTAGGTTTACACATGAGTGAAACCATCGAGTTTGCAACACTTAGCTAAAATCTACACTGTGAAAATTATTATTTATGTCTCCAGGACTGCAAACAGCTGACAATTTTATTAATGTTGTAACACATGCACAAAAATATACAAAAAATAAAGGATCTTGGGGTTCCAGTCCATAGCAACAAAAACAAAGTTGTTGGAAAAGCTCAGCAGGTCTGGCAGCATCTGTGGAGGAGAAAACAGAGTTAATGTTTCGGGTCCGGTGACCCTTCCTCAGAACTGATGGTGGCTGGGAAAACGTCAGTTTATATGCAGAAAATAGGGAGGTGGGTGGGGTAGGGAGTTAGAGCCCAAAGAGAGAGAAAGACAGTTGGACAGACAAAGGACAGACAAACCCACCCACCTCCCTATTTTCTGCATATAAACTGACGTTTTCCCAGCCACCATCAGTTCTGAGGAAGGGTCACCAGACCCGAAATGTTAACTGTTTTCTACTCCACAGATGCTGCCAGACCTGCTGAGCTTTTCCAGCAACTTTGTTTTTGTTCCTGATTTACAGCATCCACAGTTCTTTTGGTTTTTATTCAAGTCCATAGCTGCCTGAAAGTGGCCAAGCAGGTAGATAGGGTGGTAAAGAAGGCATGTGGCATACTTGCCTTTATTGGTCAGAGAAATGAATACAAGTGTCAGGATGTCATATTGCAGCTTTACAAGACTTTGGTTAGGCCACACTTAGGGTATTGCGTTCAATTTTGGTTGACACATTAGAGAAAGGATGCGGCGACAGTGGAGAGGATGCAGGAGTGGTTTACCAGGATGTTGCCTGGATTAGCAGGTATGAGCCGTAACAAGAGGGTAGAAAAACTCAGTTTGTTTTCTTTTGAGCGGCAGAGGCTGAGGGGACACTTGAAAGAAGTCTATAAAAATATGAGATGCATAGAAGGGGTAGACGGTCAGAATCTTTCTCCCAGAGTTGAAATGTCTAATACTAGGGGGCATGCATTTACGGTTAGAGGGAGAAGGTTCAAAGGAGATGCAAGGGGCAAGTTTTTTTTTTACACAGTGATAGGAGTCTGGAACACGCTGCCAGGGTTGGTGGTGGAGGCAGATACGATAAGGGCATTTAAGGGACTTTTAGATAAGCACGTGAATGTGCAAGATATGGAGGGATATGGACCAACAGCAGTCAGGAGGGATTAGTTTCATTTGGCATCATGTTTGACACAACGTGTTAGGCCGAAGGGCTCATTCCTGTGCTGTACAGTTCTACAATCTAGGGCCAACTTTGTACCAATTTCCAAAGTGAAAACAGACTAAAACCAAAGCAAAATACAGTGGAGACAACAAGTTGCAGGGCTGGATGAACACAGCAGGCCAAGCAGCATCATAGGAGCAGAGGGGCTCTTGGCCTGCTGTG